TATATATATATATATATATATATATATATATTCTCGGCTATTATTTTTGGAGTGGCTAAAAATATATAATTTTTTTCTTGTTTATGTCTCTTTTTTTAATTTGTTATTAGGGTTATTGAAGAAAAATTTCATAATTATAGACTTACTCCCAAGGTACATCCCCCACGAGCATCCAGTCTCCATCTTTATCTTCATAGGTGGGTACATATTCAGAACTATTGAGAAGATCCATCAGCTTGCTTTCATTCATAAAATCTATCATTCCTTGGGCCCCATAATTTCCTGTACCAATAAAATAATAATTACAAGTGGAAATTAATTTATAATAGTTTCATAAACTCAAAGAATAATCTTTAACATTTTGTGCAATATGTAAATCAAAAGCTAGGCTGTATCAACTCTTATGAACATGATTCTGAGATTTATCTGTTCTTACTGTCATGTTTTCAAGATTTTATTCTCAGAAAAATATTAATTAACTTGTAGCTAAGCAAATGGACATAAAACAAAAGAATGTGCGGTGTTCTTTTCTCTATTATACTCCTTATCCTTAAATTATAACAAAACTTATCTTGAAAATTTTAATATCTCATGTATATACCTGTACACATGCTATTAATTAGTTGAAGAATAAAGTAGTTGATTTCATGTGGAGTAATAATATTCAGGTTGATAACGAGTATGTACTGACAATGTAAAGCTTCATATCATCATGTGAAGATTTCTTATAACAACATGCAATAACTATCTATGATAAACCTAAATTCGTAATACAAAAATAAAGTAAATAACTTGATATAACCAATTTATAAAACACACTGATAACTTAAAAGTTGTTGACTCTAGAGTGTATAAGCTAAATCATTCTTGAAATTATGGCAAATTAATTAAACTATGTATATGGTTGGTGTTAGTGTACTACTTGTCTAACCATTTTTTTTTAAAAACGTTAGTGTTGGTGTCAGCTTACGCGCATCTCGATCTATTTTACAGGATACTTATCACCTCCCATCAGCAACAGGTACCGAGTAACTCTATCCACTAATTGTTTGGACAGATGAGAAGAAATCACCTAGTGTTTTTTGTCTCCGTTAGAACTTGAATGTGAGATATTATGGTTCTCACTCACTTCAGTGACCACTAGACCACACCTCTCGGATCATGAACATCTCTATGTAAAAAAATAAAAAGTTCGAGGGGAAGAATAGACAAGGCAAGTGTTCTCAAAGAGAAAATCGTGATGTACTTACCCATAGTAAAAGAGCTAAACATCTTGGCCAAAGCATCAGAAAGTTGTTGGTAACTTTTGTACATCTTCAAATCTACCTTACGTAGGTAAGGTGCACCATCCATGCAAACCTTCACAAATGCAACAGCAGTTGCACTACTCTTTTCAGTTTCTTCAGTGTTGTTTTTCTGAGCCATTACATTCTTTCTGAAAGATCTAACTGGTGGCCAACCCACCACTTGTGCCCTGCAATAATACCAAAAATTCAAAACATATTTTGAGAAATTAATTGTATAAAAATTACACTTTAGTTTTAGGAAATAAAAGAAAAGGGATTACATAAACTTCTGTTTTAGTCAGAACTGCTCATATGACAAAAACACAACTGTATACGACCATATAGTCAAACCATTTCGTTTTCTTTTCTTCCAACAAAAAAAAAAGATTTTTCTATACACACTAGTATTAATATATGGAGAAAAAATGGCTAATTTTTTATTATTTCTTTTTAGTAATTAAATTCTCTCTAGTCAAGGTATATACTAGTAATACTCATTAACTAACACCAGAGCTAGAAACCCATAGTTGAAACTTGTTTGAAGTGAAAATTAAAGTATGTGACGGAAAATGCATTTCTGAATATTCCTCAATGTACAACCATACAGGAGACAACGTTAAAAATCGTGAAAAATGAAAGAAAAGAATTGGAAAAAGGGGGTATTTAAGTGAAGAAGAGTATACAGATGAGGCTCTTTAATTAATCGTGCACCGCCACAAAAACGACAACAATTAACATACTCATGCAATCTCATAAATGGAGTATGGGGAGAGTTGTGTCTACGCAAACCTTACATCTACCTTGTTAAGGCAGAGAGGTTGTTTCGGATAGACATCGTTTCAAGAAATCGTGTGCGGCTAACTCTCGAAAAGAAAAAGAGAGACTTACTTGGCAGGTGGCTTGACTGAATCCTTGTTACAATTAGCAATTTCTTTGGTAGTAGGAGTCTTGATCTTCTCCTTGAGATCCATAGCAGAAGAAGAATCATTGGTTTGAAAGTTGAGTTTCAGATCAACAGTTTCAGAAAACCCTCTTTTCCCTTTGATTTTATCTCTTTCTCCACCACCAGGCAACCCCAAACACAGCTCAGTTTCTTTGAGATCCATGAAATTATCTCTTCTTCCTTTTCTTCCACTTCTTGTTAACAAAATGACAACTTTGCAAAATATTAGAGAGAGAAAGAGAGAGAGAAAAGGACAATGTTGCAAAATGCAATAATATAGTAATGTAGTAACAAAAATAAGGGGAGCAAAGTATATGGTTTCATGTGCATATATACCAAATGGTTTCAATATGGTATCAAATTCCAATGAATTGTCTGCTGAAACGTGGAGATACATGGTATGTTGATCTTCTAGGGATCAAAGGCCATGTTACTAAAATAACTAAAACAAATTTTTCTAGAAAAAAAGGTCTGGCTTTAGCTTTTGTGGGGGATATGTAAAAATATTATATTATGATACCCTAATGATTTGTCTATATCATTTCTTGGGTTTTTTAACTTATGATCAAGTGGATGGTTATTATTTTTATAATATTTTATTTTCTTTTTGTTGGGAAAAAAAGACTTGGATGGGGAATGCCATGATTAAGGTAACAAATGTGATTGAATTGAATAGTGGTCCAATAAAGAGCAATGATCGATCATAATATTACGATATAGAATTGTATTTTCTATTTCAAATATTATGATAGTTCCATTAATTCATGTAAAATTTGACTTATTATGTATTGTCACTAGCAACTTGATCCAGGTTTTTTATTTTATTTTTTTTATTTTGCCATTGCAATCATCAAAGTCCTGGGATATATTTAGATAAGCTTTACTTTCCTTCCCAATATAATGACACACTTAATGAACAATAATCATGAATAATATGTATTATTTAGGAGAAAGTACTAATTATTCACTAGCAAATAAGATTGAATTGAATAAAGTACTAATTATTCACTAGCAAATAAGATTGAATTGAATATTGGTCCAATAAAGAGAGCAATGATCGATCAGCTTCTAAATATATAATATAGTCACCAAACTATATTAAAAGAAAAGATAGATTGTATTTTATCTTTCAAGTATATTAATTGATAGTTCCATTAATTCATGTAAATATTGACTTATTATGTATTGTCACTAGCAACTATATTCATGTGTTTTCATCTTGCTATTGCAATCATCAGCCTTAAATTTTGAATTTTTTTAATTTCCTACGAGATAAAAGAGAATTCTATTATTATATCTCCGTAAATTCACTATAGATCAAATGTCTTATGCGGTAATTTTTTCTTACATTGCATGATATATACTTCTTGAGCTTACTATTTAAATTTATAAGAATTTAATTTATATATATTGTCAATATAGAATCTTCACTTTTTCATAATTATATCAATTAGAAGGCAAAATTGAAGTTTTTATTTTGCACATCAAGATTGTAGTAAATGAAAATAAACTACATCTATTATGTCATGATGCAATGATTAATTTTGTCATTCGCATTAGCAAAAGCAGCTTAATCTTACTCTCTGTTATATTTCCAATTTAACCAAAAATATAAAAAGAATCTTTCCCTTCTAGTTAATTTATTTTCCCACTACATTTCCTAAAATCAAAAAAATNTTGGAGGTCAACTCCTAAAATATATAAAAATTAAATAATGAGAAACCAAGAGATTTCATTACCTTGAGACAGATGTGGCATTCTGTCCACCTCTTCCCTTCGTAATAATCTGCAATTTCCCCCTCTCTCTCTCTCCCTTCACCATTAATGGGGCCGGTTAGATGTTGGAGGAAACATAATTGAGTTTTTTTTTACTTTTAGCCCCGGCGACAAAAACTATTTATATTCGATAGTCAAAAACGTATATAAAATTTGTATAATTTTTATATATAACATACAGAATGTATATATATATATATAAAAAAATATACATATTTTCGACTATTATTTTAAAAGCGGTTATACAATATTATTTTCCAACGTAATACTGCAACTTGCTCTACCAAGGCATGCTAAAGCAAAACATTATATTGTGTATTAATTAGTATTGAAATTATTACTCCCACTATTCTTTTGTACTAGTTCTCTCTTAACTTGACACGCTCTTAAGAAATTACATATTAAGGATTTATTTTATTAAATTATCCTTGTTAATTGGTTATTAGTATTGTAACTCTTCCAACAAATTTGAAAAGTATGGGTACTTAATACTAAGGGTAATATTGAAATAAAATAATATATCCCTCTTGATTTAATTACTAAAATAAATAAGTAAAAAAAATTATTTTTAGTATAATGGACTAGTAAAAGAGAACAAATGGAGTATTAAGAGTTCTTTATGTAACCATTTGGCGTTCGAAATCCACCGGCACCATAATAATTTCAGATTCGCGTCGCATGGGGTACATTAAAGGGAAAAAACGCTCCCTATTGGAAGTATTTTATTCTCAGGACTCGCAGCCGCTGTATATAAATTTAAATTTTTAATGGATTATGGGGTAGGGGGTAAGGGGGATGTGAGATTCTTCTGCGAAGGTGCAGCCCTTCTTCTATTCAATCATGCATATGTACACATGAATGAATGATTCTTGCATTGCACGGATTTATTTGCACTAAACTAAAATTTCAATTTTCTGTTTTCCATATCTTTATAATTGATTTTGCAGCTTGCAAAATCTCTCTCTCTCTCTCTTCCAGCTTTCTCTCTCTCACACACACACACCCCACCGCATATCAACATGATTGCATGTAGTTCCTAATTGACCAATGAATAATGACATCTCGTGAAGAAAAGCCAACCTCATTTTATTTCATTTCACATTATGAACTACGTATATGACTGGAAAAGAAGTCTAAAACTCTAAATTCTGATATTTGGAGGATTTTTCAGTGGAAAATGAAGCAGCAGTTATTTAATAAACTTTAAACTCGGAACAGCCTTAACTTAACTGCTAAAAATAAAAGGGCGGCACCCATAAGATGTGATGTAGACAACTTACTTTAAAAAACAACAGTCTGGTGCACGTATCCCCGGAAAAGTGTTATACCTGAAGGATGTGGTGTAGAAAGCCTACCATAAAAAGAATCGCAGGATCCGGAAAAGTGTCACACCTCATAAGGTGTGATGTACACAACTTAAGTTAAAAAATAGCAATCCGGTGCAAAAAAATAACTCACATTCACGTAGTATCCGAGAAAGAGTCGCACAAAAAGGGTGTGATGTACAAAGCCGAAGCATCATAAAAAGAATAATGGGGTGAAAGAGGCTCGAACTTTAGACCTCAAGATTACTCTTAAGCTATGAGACCTACGCGCAAGCCAACTGCGCCACCTCCCCAAAGTTGTTTAATTCTTAATAATTACAATAATATTGTATTAGTGCAGTTTTAAACACCTTTTGACTCTAATGTATTATATTCTGCTCCTTTAAGATGCTCAAAATTTCCCATATCAGAGGAGCAATGTATTGAGTAGCATATCAAGAGATTCAGTTGGGATTTACGTTAAATTCTTGTTTGTATTACTTATAACTTTTTGTTAGACAATCTGTATTGCTGTAATAAATAATATAAAATATTAAACTTTCGGAAATAGAAATAAAAACAGAAACAGAAACAGAAAGTTAGTAGAACCAGTTTGACGAAATAAATTCAGAAAAATAATATCGAAATAAATCGAGCTCACTGAATGCACAGTGTGTCCTTAAGAAAATTATTCCCCTAAAGTATCCGAAGTGCTGGAATATTATCCTCCCACGATAGAACAATTCAACTCACCAGTGTATTGGCACTAAAAACGGGGGTGAACTTCGAACCACTCAATGGTCGTAAAACACACTGGAAAAATATTGTGCAGCAGAAGAAGAAGATAATCAGAAAATTTAGTAAGTAAAGATTCTAGGATTCAAGACATATTTATACACTATTTGGCACTGTTTCTGAAAAGGTTTGCAACCTTTCAGAAACAGCCATAGCTATTGGAATAGGTGGAAATATTTCAACAGAAATATTGCGGGAAAACAGAAAACGAATTTAAAATAATCCGGAAAAGAAAACAGACCGGACTGGGTCGCGTCAGGGGTCCTGGGTTAATCCGGATTGAATTTTCGTTAATTAATTAAATTAATTAATTAAATAATTAAAAGAAATTTTGTCCAAAAAGATTAATCGATCAATCTTTGTCCGAAGCCGAAGATGAACCGAGCGAGCAAGCGAGCGACGACGCGAGGCTTGCCTTCTTCTTAACTTTTTAGGACTAGAAGAAGAGTAATTGTATATATACCTATCAAAAATATTTTCTTCCTCCAATATGGGACAAAGTCCATTTGCCAAGGAGGGAAACTCAAATATTTTATTTTTTCTCCATTTTCCATTTACCCTCTTTAAGCTACACCAAGCTTCAAAGCCCAACAATCCCCCACATGAATGGAGAATAGCTATAAAATAAAAGAATGCATAGACGCGTGTGTGTTTTACATGGAATAATTAATTACATCTCGATAAGTAGGTTTCCCTTTGAACTTTTCGTAGTGAACTTCTATCGGATATACTCGGTCAATCGGTAGATTTGAAATCTTTGAACCGTCGAGCTTTATTATATACCTAGACAATATAAGTCACACAACTAACCCTTAACCCTCTATGGTTCTCACGGTTGTGTTCGTTTCAGCCATGAACACTGCCTGGTTTCATGAGTGCTTAGAGAATGGGCCTTTACTTTTATTCCTCTTGAAGCGGCTTACACTTCACACTCATATAGGTGATTTCTAAACGTGTAATCCCATAGACACAATATCTGGTCATATCCTGCCAGACTTAGCAAATCATTAAAAAGCTTTAAGCTTTATTGACTCATCAAAAAACCTTAATGTTTTACCTCGATTTCTGAACATTGTCTTTATCGCGAGAATGGGTTGAGTTATTTGATAATGTTGAACTGTCATTCATAACTTTGTTTGATTTCTTTGAACCTAGCTCTTGGGATCTCCAGTCTACTAGGTAGAGTTACCGCTATGATGACTTGTCCTAGGCCTTAACCCCATTCCCTTTGATGATCTTTCAACTGCCTCTCTAGATAGGCCTTTTGTAAGTGGATTTGACACGTTATCTCTTGATTTTATGCAGTCAATCGTGATAACACCACTAGAGAGTAGTTATTTAACGGTATTGTGTCTCTGTCATATATGATGAGATTTTTCGATATACATAACGCTTCCTGCCCTGCTTATTGCCACTTGAATATCACAATGTATACATATTGGTGAAAGAGGTTTGGTCCAAAATGGAATATCTTCCAAAAAACTTCGAAGCCATTCAGCTTCTTCACCTGCCTTATCTAAAGCTATGAATTCAGATTCCATTATAGAACGGGCGATGCACGTTTGTTTGGATGATTTCTAAGAT